CCCCCCCCCCCCCCCCCGGGGGCCTGCGGGGCCCCCCCGCCAATGCTGCCCCGCCGAGCACAGCTCGCCGTCGCCCTCGTTCCGGGCAGCCTTTGCCCCCGCCGCCAGGCTGGCTGTTTCCCAGAAGTGCTCCGTTGCATTTAAACTCTTAATTCCAGTGCTGATACCGAGATAGTCAAGGGTTCTTTATCAGAAGTGATTGGACTGTTTAATATTTTGTTTGGACATCCTCTCTCTCGGAGAGAATATTCTGACTGGGACTGAAGAACCACTACAAAATGGAAACAGTCGCCCTATCGGTATGCCCACTGAGGTCGGCAGGCCTGAATCCAGGCTAACTTTGGAAAAAAATCAGACGTGGTTCTTCAGGTGACCACAAGAGGAATTACAGGTTTTGACACGGAACTGCCTTTGACGGTAGACGTCAGGGCCCCGAGCACACTCATGTGCCTTTGTGGCCTGACCAGCCCACGGCCCAGGGCCCCGCGTCGGCACCCCGGGGCCTGCAACGCCGCAGCGGGGCCGGTCCCCAGCCCTGCCACAGCCTGAAGTGTGACCCAGCCTGCGGGTGTTCGGAGATCGCAACCGTGGGCTCGCGGGACTCTGTAATACGCGAGGACATAGAGGCTTCATCTTCTGATTTTCTCTACTTTATACAGATTACCACAAAATAATCACCGCTAGCAAGTGCACTGTCACAAAAATCACCACTAGCAGGTGTACCTATGATTAATAAAACAACTATGTATCTATCTCAAGCTATTACAAATTCAAATCGTATAATCATTTTAGGTTGGAAAAGACCTTTAAGATCATCGAGTCCAACTGTCCAGTCCAACTGATGACTATCGGCAAGCAATAACAGCAGCAATCCCCTGTACAGCAACAATCAACGTTACAGCAACAACCAAGTAGGTATTTACTATCGCAGGTTACTCCAAACTTTCCATTAGTGAAGCAACTTATCAACAATATAACAGCAGATACATTATGACAGATTACTTGTATGGATGTATAATACCGGTATCAAGTGAATTAGATTTCAGAAGGGGCCAAACCATCCCGGAGTGGAGGACACACTGATCCCAGAGGGGGGACCCGACCATCCCAGAGGTGGGAGGACGGACCAAGCCCACCCTAGCAGTGGTCCCAGCAGGGGGCCATGAAATAACAGAGTCTCACTTCAAAGATGATCTGCGGCACAGAGTCTGGAGTCCCGGGTGGGAGTCCAAGATCTCACAGAAAGTTTCTGCAGAGAATCCAGCCTGTTTAGGAAAGGAAAAGTACATGCCTCAAGGGATGTTCTCGGAGAGAGAGGCTCCATTTTGGAAAAAAACTAAGTCATTTTTATATTGTAGAGACATAAGAGGGCATAGGACACCACCACTGTGAGCAGCCAATGGATGCCGTTAATTTCTGTTTTCCACCTGGAACAGGTGGATGATGATGTTTGCTGTTGTTTCAGATCAATTTTTATTTTGCCAGACCGTTTTCCTGCTCTTGCAGTTAGAACAGCCAATGGCAGTCACGCACTCTTACTTTCTCCGGGTGTTTTGTCCTTTCCTGGACTATTTTTCACCTTTTCAGATGAAAAGTTGCTGTTACAGTTCCTTGTTTCTGCACTTACGAATGGTATCTCAGGACATCTCTGGTTTCTAGGTACCTAGCTGTACTTAAAAGAGGCCAGCTGCACTCTTCAAGGATGCTTCTGGCACCAAGGCGGAGTTCCCAGGCTGGCAGGCATTTTCTCTGCCGGTGTTTTTTCAACAGAGATTTTCTTCTGTTCAGTCACTTTCCCTTTCTAGCCAAGTCATCTTTTTGGCTGCCCACAGCCCCGCCTTGCCTTGCCCATTGCCTGATTGACCAGCCCAGCCTCAGCCTGGCCATCCCAAGGCTCTGTCTGGTACTTTAAAAGTCAATTGCCATTCTCTAGAAAACCAAACAACCAACCTTATACTTCAGTAACTCATCATGCAGCATTTGCTAAAGGCAGCATAAGGATTTTAAATGTAATCAGCTTTACTGCTTCGCTAGACCTGTAGCTTCAATATATAGTCTGTGTCACTGTTTAATTGCAATCACAGTCAAAGCTAATTGAAGTGTGGAAACACTAAACTATTACTAAATATTTTTACTATTTCAAATCTCCTAAATGCACTTATTTTGGACTATGTACCTCATAAAGAAACTTGATTTGTTAGCAGGAGAAATTATCCTTATTCATAGATCTATTTGCAGGAATAGTTATTGCTGCTGTGAGTGAATGAATTAAATCCTTTGAAAAGGCCTTGTTATATTCAAGATAATATAAAATTTGCCATTTACATGGTGAGACAAAAATATATGTTGAAATAAATATCTGAAAAAAAATGCTTTTGCCTTTTCAGAGAAACTTCTTAAATTGTCTTATTTATGTCTTTTCTTAACATTTAACATAGAAATATGCTTTCTGGACTGACTCCACGGCAGCCCATGGAACTACTTAAAGTACCTTAACATGTACAAATGGATCCTGAACAAGTATTTATATGTTAAACTGCTCCTGAGTCTGTCTAGCCAGTAATATCAACTCTTCTATTCTTTCACAAAATATCTTTAATTCCTGAGGAAATAGGGGAATAAAATTATTCATATCTTTGCTTAATAACCACGGTTACACAACAACAGAAAGCAAAGCAATTTGCCCCTGAAGCACCAATTCCATCCTTGTTTTAGCCATCATACTTGAATACTATCAGCAGGACATACACATGTCAAAATACCTTAATACAGCACCATCAAATGAGGAACAGAGTATCATCTCAGTGTTTACTGTGCTTTGTCAGAACTTTGTTTAGGGTACCTCAAGCTGCATAAATTCAGAGTTACTACCAGACGTGTATAACAAATCTGCTCTTTTTCTAACAAGTTCAGGTGATCGAATGTGGAACCATTTTAGGTTTAAACCATTCAGCAGTATTTATTCCCTGCCTCCCTCCAGAATTACCTTTCCTGCGAGATTTTTGTCAAGAGGCAAATATATATAAATGTCTATATTAAAGTCTTCTTAAAGAAAGCTTGAGGGAAATCAGATTCAATCTATTTTAACTGTGAAGTTTAGAAAATAAAGCTTTGTTGTTACTCTTTTAGTTTTGGCATTTTTTTCTGCTTTTTCATTTCTCCTATTTCGTGACTGGTGTTACATATGTAAAAAAAAAAAATTATGATTAGATGCCGCAGCTGTGCAATACTGTATTGCCCTCAGTGAATTACTGCCTGTTCACATTGATTGGTCTGTTTATAGTTGGAAAATGGCTTACGTGTAGAAGGGCTGACACATTAAACTGCCTGTTATTTCCCCTCTGCAAGAGCCATTCCGATGCTAGCAGCACCCAACACCTCAGACTAAACCCTGTGTATGTTACGACCTCACCCTCCAAGCTTTGGGGCCAGAGCTGATGTTTGTAAAAGCCCACTACCTGCCTCGGCCCAAGCCCTATCTTGACAGAGCCCTGCGGCCCTGAAAGGCCTTCAGGCACTGGTGCACTCTGTTGCCATGTGCTCGGCGCCGGGGCCCACACAGCTTTCGTCTCGGAAACCTCCGCCAAGGCAGCAGGGCCTCCAGGACGTGACTGACAGCAGTTTCGCCTTCTCCTGCAAAGGGCAGCCCTGCCAGAAGCAGTCATTCGGCTGCAGGGCGCAGTCCCAAGAAATCACACAGAGATCTGGGCTAGATTTGATGCGGCAATAAAAGAACATTTCGGGCTACCACACCCCCTCCCAGGCCGCCACCCACGCCCCCCCTCAGCTCTCTGGACCTCTTCACAGCGTTGATGCCTCCGCGCGGCGGCCGACAGCCTCGCCCCAACTTGGATCCCTCCGCGCCTCCCCGAGCCCCATCACTGCTGGTCAGCGAGGGAGGGCCAGCCGAGTGGGAGGGGACAAGTGAAAAAGACAGGCGAAACTACCAATGGCGAGACGCGTGCGGGAGGCCGTGATCGGTCGACGCACTGAGGGCCGCGGGGGGCGTGGCCGCGGCCGCGGGAGGTAGCGCGGGGCGACGGCCGCCATGGCGGACGAGGTCAGCAAGGCGCAGACCGCTCGCCCCGGCGGCGACACCATCTTCGGAAAGATCATCCGCAAGGAGATCCCCGCCAATATCATCTATGAGGACGAGCAGGTGCGGGCGGTGCGCGGCCGCGCCCCGCTCGCAGCCGCCCGGGTCGGGGGGTGCCGTTGAGGCGCTCGGGAGCGTGGCGAGGCGGGCGGGACGGGACGGGACGGACGGGGCCTCTTCTCCGCACCCTCCTGCAGCGTCCCTAAAGCACCGGGCTCCTTCGGGCACCGGCGGGTGGCTGGGCGGATGCGGGGCTGCAGGTGCTGCGCGGCCGGCCC